CAAAATATAAAATGGAGTTTTAGTTTACCCCTTAGTTTCATCCTGATATAGAGATTACATGTTCACAGTAATGACATAGGAGGTTTATAAGTGAGGTATGGTCAATAGTGGGTGGTACCTAAAATAAATAACAAATAAAACTAATAAAATGCTTTCCCTTAAGAGTATGGGCTCGTTCTCCAGTTGTGGTGACTGACATTTTTTCGCACTGGATCAATGCCAGTCACAGCAAACAATTGTTTTCTATGCTTCCCATTCACACCACAATGCTGGTGTGATGTGTGGAGAAGAAACAATGTAGACATGCTGCATTTTTCTGCTGCTCACTGGATGGCTCTAGAGGCCACCGCAGCACAGCGTGGCACACCAGGCTACTGAGGGGAGATCTTTGAATAGAGTGTACACTTTTTACAGATAACTGAACCTTTAAATAATTTGTTCTTGTGATGTGATATATAAGATGCAGTTGAAGTTTTTATTTAATGTGCTTATGTAATGTTATGTGCTAAGGAAGACTTGGATTTACTCAACTGAGTATTTGCTACAAAATCGACATATCGCAAATAAGGATTTAGCGTGAAATCACAATTTGTATTTACTGGTAATTGACCCCTGTCCCAGGTGAAACTCAATAAGCGTAGGCAAAATTGTACTGTTTATTTTACATGTTCAACTAAGAACAAAAATGAGTTATATTTCCAGATAAAACATTCCATTCTATTAGTAAGTCCCTTTTTTTATAGTGCAAACAAATCAAGTGATGTACGTCACAAAAAGAAAGGAAACATTGGCGTTATTGAAAAAGGAATTTTATATCCTCTGTAAACTGAACAAAACCAAGGTTTAACCTAAGCTGGCCTTGCTGGCTCTCATACCAGTTATGTTATTGGCACGTTACAGTCTTTCGGCACTAATGTAGTATTGGACTGGCATTTCATTGTCTGTACACTGTCCTTTTTTTTTTTTCTTTCAATCAATAAACCATTTTCAATGAATAAATGAACAGTCAGTCATTCTAGGTGCTCATGGGCTATGTTTGAGAAAGAACACAGACCTTAGTTGATATCTTATATAACGTCCTTTAACAGATACATATATAGTCAAGATTGGGTTGGTAAACCATTATGCAATCAGACAGTGAAAGTTTAAGTGCTGGACAAGTTCACTAAGGGAAAAAAAATACATAAAATATCCTTATAAATAAATCTCATCCCATTCTTTAAAAAAACCAAAACAACATAAATCCATTAGGGTCTTTACTTTTGGTCTTTGCACTACCCATGGTATTTAAAAAAAAAGTGTATAAGATTACGGTCTCTGTATACTGTTCCATGGACCTAAGAAGACTAGCAGAGAAGAAGAACAATATACCAGTCTGACACTAAAAAAGGAAACCACTTTAACAAAAAAGAGGCCAGTAAAAACCATATGTCAAACCAATGGCTAGATCATACATTTTTTTGCACTGCTCAGAGAGTAGAAAGTTATAAAAAGAAGACTGATTGGTTAGCGCACTCCTAGGGGGGTGTGTGATGTGTCGTGGCCGTTGTGCGGCTCCTTATGTTATTAGATTGGGTGTGTCGAACTGTGTGATGCTGAACAGAAAAAAGGAAAGGGAAAGAGCACAATTAACAGGCAAAGACTGTGTGGAAGGAGATTGACCAGGGAATAAAAGTAAATCAAGGTAAATGGAAGTAGGAATAGAAATTAAGCACTCACGTGTGATGGAATGGCTGGGCACACTGGTGGTGATCTCCTGGTGATGTTGTAGTGATGTCTGGTCATGGTGACAGGCGGGTGTTCGGTGGGCAGATGTGTATCCTTGAGAAGGGAGGTTGATGATGCGCCAGACTCGGCGTGGAGGAAAGAAAAATACAAGGTGGCCAGAATCTGTGCAAATGTATGAAAAAGAAGTACATTCTTAACTCCCCTTTGGGTTTGGTGATATCAATGACGAAGAACAAGTGGCGGATCGAATACGTTTTGTTCGGGTGGTTTTGATCTTGATTGTGGTTGACAGTCTTTTGATCCTGGTGGATTTTAGGACAGATGCTCTTGGGATGTTGTTGTGGAGAGTCTTGGATGCTGGCATGGAGCCAGGTGATGTGAAGGAAGCTTCTCTGTTCAATATGCACTGCTCAACCTTGAGACGATCTCCCAGTGGGAACAATGGGGAAAAAAACTTGACAGAGTGAAACCCTTCTCCTGTGTCCCGTTTGGTGAAATTTTGCAAAAAAATCACAACACTTCACCACTCTGTCTAAAACTATAACAAAAAAAATACATATAAATACAAATTGGCTGCAGTACTACTTTAGCTTACTCAAGATAAAAATTGTAATGTATTATTTGTATGTAACATTCCACCTATATGCTCCAAATCATGTGAATTCCAATCTTGTGTTATTCTGGTTTTAGGAAAGTAAGGATTTCATCTACCAGTTTTCTGAAGATGTTAGAAAACAAACATTTGGAGCATTTACACCGAGATATGATTTTATGAACTACTTAAGGTATGTATGACAACAACAACTTATTTTTGAGAGTGTTTACGCTATGGTTTAGCTTTTATGATTATATAAACACAAATCTCTGCATCTCTTGCACAGTGATAAAAATGCATGTGAATTTCTTCCTTAAACTTACAGGAATACTGAACCTGTTTTAAATATTTATTCTATGCTAAATAATTTAATATGAGTAATGTTTATTATTTCTTTGCCACAGGGAAGGCATTGAAACTATTCTGCCTACTAAAGCTCATGATGCTGCTCAGAACCGTCTCTACGTATCAGTCACCAACACCAAAAGTCGGGAAAACTGCTTGATTTCAAGTTTTGCTTCTAGAGAAGAGCTTGTTAGGGTAAAAACCTGTGCTGTCATTGACTACAGCAAACGTAGATGTATTGTGGTGCTGTCTGACTCTTCATACTGTGCATATTTGAGTAGAATGTGCAGTGCCTTCTCCCTCCAGCATGTTTACATGTGGAAATATAGATGTGAAAGCAGGTCTAAATGTCAATATTGTGTTTAGATGCATGTGCACATATAAGTTCCTATTCATGCTTCCAGCTAGGCAGTGTCTTAAAACTAGTCAAATATTTATTTTTAGAGGTACTGTAATGTCTTTTCGTTTCTAGCTATGTCATGTAACATCCCTTTCCGACTCTGGCTCCTGATGCACGTCTTCAGGCTCCAACCACTCAAATAAAATTTTCCCAGCAAACAGACATTGTTTCATAGCACCACACTGTCCAATGCTGCCATTTTTAAATAGCTACCTGCCTGTCCACTGCCATGGCAGGCAGATTAAAGATCTCAGCCACCCTAGTCATTTGCACCATGTTTCTTCCTGTAAGTGCATGTTGTTTATACCAACTGTTTTCAATTGGTTCCCTCCACATCTCCTCCATGCATTCCTGGAGCTCTCAAAGTACTGTTATTTTTGGGGGTACTACAGAAACACATTTGAGCTAAATTGTTTTTTAAACATTTTACCAGTATATGTCTCCTGTAGAATAGCCATTTTCTGTAGCATGTGCAGAGTCTGACCATTTTCTGCAGTGTGCCCACAATCTCTGATCTTCTTCTTTAGAAATGCCGAGTGTCACAGACCTTCTTCTGTAGCAAGCCTGCAGTCTCGGACCACATCCTGTAGCAATGCCTGTGGTCCCAGGCCATTTTCTGTTGCATGTTTACTGTCTGATAGTTTCCTCTAGCATTGCATACACTAAATTTTATGTGCAGTCCTTTGGTAATGTCAGGGGTCATGCAACGTTTTTATGGTAAACGTTTGAGAATTTACCATTAACGGTTATTACTATTATGTAGAATACAGGATTTGTATAGCTTATTTGCTTTACAAAATAAAGGGACACAGCACAGTTACAATTCAATTCAGACAAAAGTGTTAGGAGGGCCCTGCTCATAAGAGCTTACAATATAAAAGGGAAGGACAAGTAATACAAAAGGTAGTAACTGTGTGGGGAAGAGTTGAAAAATGTCAGCTTTTATGTAGAGTCTGGGATAGGCTTCCCTGAAGAAATGAGTTGTCAGGGATCGCCTAAAGACAGACAGAGTAGGACATAGCTGTAGAAGTTGTTGTAGGAGTTCCACAAGATGGGAGAGGCTCTGGCGTGTCGGTATTTGTTTTAAGGTGGGGAGGACAGAGTTTATCCTGTACACTTGGGGGTTCAGTCCACTTATAGAAAATCACTGCACGTTTTCTATTTAAGACTTCATTGCATAATCATCTTTGTTTGCAAGCAGTTGTTGTCATCTTGATTGTCAGTCACAGGGGGAGGTGGAGTTTTTTCAACTTGATTCTAAAGCTGGATACACAAGGAGTGAATTTTTGGCTGATTCAGTTGGTGATCCTGTTCCCTCAATAGAAGTCGATCATTAGATTGACTTTTGCTGAAGGAACATGTTGAAAATTCCTCGGCTGAACGCTGCCTGTAGCCAATCAGCTGCAAGGACCATTTAGGCATTCTGGCAATTGCCGTTGCCACTGTAAGAATACGAAGCTTACAGTGGGAGACACCTCCTATCCATGCTGAATGGATGGAGGATGGAGGAATTTTTTTATTTTTTTTTTTATTTTCGATGAATGAAAAAATATAACAGTGCTATCCAAGCTCTCAGATCAACAGAAAATCTTGCACAAGAAATGTGATGAGCCCATGCCTTGTCCTGACCACCAAACTAAGTAGTGTTTATGCGCTTTCTTAACAAGTCCAGTCATCGTGTATCTTTGAGACTTGCCACAAATGTAGCAGGATGTGTCACAACTGTTTTTGACATTGGCAAGCCATTTATGATGTCACCAACCATACTACAACAAATACAACAGCAAACCTGTAACTGTAGTTGTTACATTGTGAGCTGTCTGTAGCCCTTACACCATCATACACTAAGCCTAAGCATTCCCAGGCATGCCAAGCTGTGCATGTTTCACAAACATTATGCAACCAGCCCTGTGTGCATGCTAGGGATGCACCGATACTAGTATTGGTATCGGTGCAGATGCCGAGTATTTGGGCAAGTACTCATACTCACCCAAATGCTCCAATACCTAGCCCGATACTTCCGGTATCGGGAAACTGGGCAGTGAGTCATTACATGCTGCCCGGCTGTCTGATTGGCTGGAATGCCGACTCCATGCTCCCTCGTCACTTGTGACGAGGGACCATGGAGCCAGCTTCCCGGACAATCAGGAAGCCGTGCAGCGTGTAATGACCGCTGTCCGGCTTCCTGATTAGTCAGGAAGCCGGCGGGTGTAATCAGAAAGCCGGCTCCATGCTTTCTTGTCATCTAGTGATATGAAGCATGGGGATGGCTTCCCTGCTAATCGGGAAACCGGGTGGCAAGTCTTTACATGCTGCCCGGCTAATCAGGAAGCCAGATGGCGAGCCATTACACGCCCCCTGACTTCCTGAATGGGACTTCCAGGATTATCGAGTACCGAAAAAAATACCGGTATCGGTGCATCCCTAGTGCATGCCAGGACAAGTACGAGCTGAACGAAGCATCATATAATACAAACAAAAACTACCAACCTTAACTGCCTCCGGGCCGGCCGTAGTAGAAAAACGGCCGGCCCGGAGCTCTCTAGATCTGAGCGGGCGTCTCTAGACGTCCGCTCAGACACGCCCCCTCGCGCGCGCCGCTCGGCGCGCGCGAGCGGGAAATTGCCGTTTTTTAAAAACAGGCAGCGATGCCTGATACCATACAAGCGATCCGCCGGCTTTAGAGCCGGCGGATCGCGTGTATGGGGTGCCGATCGGTGCCCCCCCCCTCCGCGTCCCCCCCCTGCCGTTGTCCCGCTGATCCCGGGCTCCGCTGTGCCCCGGTGCGAGCCCGGGATCAGCATGTCGGCTGTGTCACAGGGGATCAGAGAGAGCTCGGTACACGAGCTCCCTCCGGTCCCCTCTCCTCTGCAAGAATGCGGAAGTGTTGTATAATACATCACTTCCGCATTCTTGTGTCACTCTCCAGCTTCAGAAGCTGGAAAGAAGCTGATGGAGCAGATCTCTGCTTCATCAGCTTCTTTTGGGGGGTCCTAGGTGACATTAGGGGTCTTGGAGACCCCTGATGTCTCCATAAAGAGGACCTGTCACATATTTTGCTATCACATAGGGGGGGTTTATTAGCCCCCGTATGTGATAGCAATAAAGTTTAGTGGGAAAAAAATGTAAGTTCCCCCCCAAATTTAAAGTTACACATAAAAAAGAATAAAAAAACAAAAAAAAATGTAAAGTCCCCACCCATACATACACGCATGCAAACATGCATCGGGGGTGCATACGTGCAAAAAAGACGATTGCGGCCATTACGCCGCACATGTTACATATCGGCCGCGAACGCCGGAGTGAGAGCAATAAGTCTAGGGCCATCAATCACTGATAACACTAAACTGATGAGCGGTAAAAGCTTTTAAAGTGTCGCCTATGGCCAATTTTGGGTACGGTAGTTTTCTGCGATTTCGCGGGTGCGCACAATTTTAAAGCTTGACATGTTTGGTGTCTATTTACCCGACGTGACGTGATCTTTTATATTTTACTGGGTAAACTGGGTAATAATAAATGTTTCCTAACATAATGTAAAAAAAAACCTTTTTTTTTTTCAAAAATGTTCTGTAATTTTTCCTAATTATAATAAAAACTAAAAACCCCAGTGGTGATTAAATACCAACATAAGAAAGCTCTATCTGTCCCCAAAAAATGGTATAAAATTCATTTCAGTACAGCGTTGCATGACGGAATAAACGTCAGTCAAAGTACTGCAGCACTGAAAAATGGCCTGGCCAGGAAGGGGGGCTAAACACCTGGTCTTGAAGTGGTTAAAAAGTGACAAGAAAATACAAAAATAAAAGATTATAAAAAATAGTAGGTGATAGGTTAAATTACACTTTATTTTTGTGATTAGCAACCCAAAATCTATAAGCACTGGCGGAACTACCAGGGTCGCAGCGGTCGCAATTGCGACCGGGCCCTGTCATTCCGCCTGCTGGGGGGGGCCCAGCAAGGAAGAAGAGGGCCCCCCCCATGGATCGGCAAGGTGTCCGTACACGGACGCCGGTGTCCGTGAATGGTGCTTGCAGGGTCCGCCGCGGCCGTACATTACATGTGAAGTTAGTTGGTACGGTCCCGGCCCTGAGCCCCCTGTACAATTGTGATATTTTGGTACCTTCCTGTTGATGTGCAGGAAGGTTTTTTCTTTTCTGGGGGCGGGGCTTTCTTTTTAGTGGGCGGAGGTGAAGAAGATCAAGGCGGGAGCGGTGGAGGCTGCTGCTAACCAGACCCAGTATCCCAATAAAAGATATCCCCATGTTCCTGTGGCAATTTAATAAATTTGGATTCCCCCTCTTTCTCTCCCAGTGACAATGGTTTTCAGGACATAATAGGGACTTTGAGGACAATGTAAAATGACCAGTACCGTGATCAATAGCACATGTAAATTATAGCTTTGTACATTTTTAGTCTAAATGGAAAAAAAAACCTGTAACATAATACCTGTGTCCTACATTACCATCATAAAATATATAACCCATCATTACTACAAGCAATAATAAGTTCCATAGCAAATTCTTTTAAAAGGTGACTTTGTAGAAACTCCACTATAAACCTTTTTGTATAGTCTAAATGATTCCTTTGCCAGTTGCATTTTAGAACCTTTATCATAAGCAGCAAACGATAATTTCTACAGTAGAGTGGGTTTTTGTAATTGTCAGTGTAATAGGAATAAGTAGTAGGCAATAGGGTTCAGCAGCTGCACTCATAAAAGATATGCAGTCTTGCTTTTAACTATGTGTTATGTACAGTATGCTCCAAGTAATTTATTCTCACTTGGACTTTTTAATGT